AGGCTGAAAATTCGTAGTAAGGTCTTTACGATAGTAAGTAGAAATGGGATGCACAGCTCATCCAGGACTGAAGTTTATGAACATTTAGTGATTTATCGTTTTTTTCTCATCGATGATTTTCAATTTTTAGATATTGTGCCATCGATTAATTCCATATCCAGAGCGGACAGCTTTGTTGACTCCAATCATGAACGATGCCTGGAGAATTTTGAGCGACGGGTAAGTTCAGTAATCGGTCACTAAAGGCACATTTTGCACTGATAGAATGGCTGCACAGAGAACTGCCTCATTGACGCGGCTCTTTTTTCCGCCACTTTAGAAAAAGGGATACTTCTGTTGAGAGGGCACTGCGGCTCTCTGTCCCCGCCCTCCCGATTATCGCGGAATATCCCTATTAGCGGTTTACTCGATTACAAGCCTGGGCACGGGGTCCAGTTGAAATATGGTGCGAGTGTTTGAAAGATAAAAGTGAACCTAATTTAGTATCCTGTAATGTTCGCATTGGAACTGGACGTGTCAGACGAGGTCGCGATGAATGATCGTAGTGGCAACATGCCGACCAAAAGCGAGAAGGAAGCTATGAAGAATGGCAACGCCCAAAATAACACCTATGGCAAGGACATCGACGCAGCAGATAGAGGGAAAGCTAGAGGTTTGTTGAACTTCTTGTAATCTTAGGGTGCGACCTACTGTTGATTTCAGACGCTGTTTCTATCCTGAAAGGCACTGGGTACGATAGTTTGGTACTAGCTCTAAAATAGCAGCAGGGGTGCTATATAGTGGGGGGAAAATGGCAGAAAAAAGGAGTGATACGCTCAGAAACCTGTAAAAAAGCTACGCGACTCAGAAGACAATTTCGAGTTCCTCGTTGGCACCTTATCTCTCCTGTCTGTAGGACAAGGCTGTGTAACAATTTGAGAATCAAAAATATCGCAGGGCTGTAGGGGTTTTAGACAACTTGTTGCGTTGTTGTTTATGCCCCTAGGGCAAAAGTCCGTAATTGCAAGTGGCATATGGGTCTACTCTGCATTTCCTCGTCGTCTGGCCTCTCATCTGAGCGCTTTATGTTTCCTCGCTGCACAAATGCGTGGCTATTCTGGACATCAGTAGTAACAAATCATTTGCCATTTTTGGAAACATCACGCAACCACTGCGACTTTAACTTTTACTGAAATTTTCCTCTCAAGAGGTTACTGTTTATTCGTTTGTTTCTTTTGTTGTTTATTCAATTGTTTTTATTGTGTTTCTTTTCAAAAATGTTGGCTGCTCCGCTTCACGGCAACACTTCTTTGTTTCAAAACGTCATCCGGAGGCAACGAGAGGCTTCTAAGCAGGGCACGCCATCGCGTTGTGATCATTTACTATCGGAAATATTAGTTGTATAGATCTTTGACAGTCCCTCTCTCAACAACGACCAATTACGACCTCACTCTCTTAGCCGTCCGTGAAACAAGAGATATCAACGACCAAAAAAATTTTTTT